ATGCGCCGACCCAGACCGAGCCCTCAGGGCCCCAGGGCCCGAAACCGGGCGACAACGCCCGGCCCGAGAAAAATTTTCCTGGCGAAGGTCCCAACCATATGCAGTTGTGGGTACCGCAATTGTGAAGATCTGCTTCGGTGAAGCTCCCTATGGGGCCACGAAGCGCTGCACTGGGCGGGGGGGGAACAGACGCCAGCATCCCAGGGGGTCCAGAGCGCCCTCCCCGCTGGTCTCCCTGGCTGCGCCCGCGGTGGCGACGAAGGGGCCTCCCCGGCGGCCAACGGGGAGGGCGGCGCGGCAGACCCCGAGTGCCCGGGCAGGCCGCGGGGACCTCCGGCAACCGCCTGCGCTGGGGCCCCGGAGAGGGGGGGGGAAGCGGAAGGGCAGCAGGCGAGGCCCTCGCGGACCGATCGGCAGCGCGCCTCGCCGGCTCCACGTCGACGGAGCACACGGGCCCTGCCCTTGGAACCTCTCGGGCGGCAGCGCCGAGCCCGAGGGCACTCGGGACGCCAGGCCCTCGGGGCTCGTGCGCCTCCGAGCCGCACAGGCGGCGGCCGCGGGCGCCGAGAGATGGGCGCGGCAAGAGGGGGCCCGGCTTCCAGTCGTGACTGCTTCGCGAGCCTGGGTTTCGGGGCCATCCTGTGTCGGCGGGTTCTCGCTTGGAAGAGGCGGCGCCCCGCAGCTCCGGCGCTCCTCTCCTCTCCTCTCCTACTCCCCCTCCCCCTCCTCCCCCTCCCCCTCCTCGTCGCAGAGCCGCTTCGGCACACCCCTCACACGGTTCGTGGCCCCATGTAGGGAGCTTTACTGAGGGCCCCAGTGGCAGGGCTCTGGTCGTGCTTTGTCACGATACTGCCTTTATTTCGCTGCGTCGGACCAAACATGCAGCCTGATAGGCGGAGAGAGGAGGACGAGGAGGAGAAGGAGGGGGAGGACCAGTGCAAACTCAACTCGCACCCACGATGCTGCAATAAACCCTCCCTCTAAGTTCCCTCTTCACAGGTCCCTAATCAATATTTACCTTGGCGATGCGGCCAGAGAGCGCCCGCGGGCATGTGCTGCAAGATTTCTGAGCGCGCGCCTGCCCTGGGAGGCCGACGCACGCGGTGGTATTGGCATCGCTGCTGACGCACCTGAGCGCAGAGGCATCTTCGCTTGTGAATCGTGGATGGACAGACCTCCCTTGAGAAAAACGTGGCTTAGTGAAAACGACCTGAGGCCCAGACCTGGCGGGCGCAGGCCTGGAAAATAACGGCCACGGCGCCCTCTCGAGAACCTAAAACGGACAATTCACTTATCGACGTGTCACTGTTGGGGATTCTGTCCAACCCCGAGTGAAGCGCTCCCTGGTCCAAGACCTTCTGCGTTTTACCCCGCTCCCGCTGGCACAAGCCAAGGGCCACGACTGGGGCGCTGGAGCGTGGCCACACCTCCAGGACACGTGGAAAAAAATCGGCACCTGTGTCTCTTCGCACTACCAAGCGCACAACCGTCTTCAGTATTCGGCCCTCCAAAATCTTCCTGGGGGTGGGTCAAGAGGTACTTAGCGACTGCATCCGGCCGCACATCCGAGAACGTAAAACTACTATAACCCCACAACTGATGAGCTGAATCCCAAGAACTATCTGCTAGGGTTTCTAAAATCGTTCTATGAGACCAGAGGAGGAGGAAGAGGAGGAGGAGGAGGAGGAGGAGGAGGAAGGCACCCCTCCTCAACGCACTCAGTCGCGTGCTTCGCCCACCCCCCCTTCCCGAGGCTCCCTCGTCGCCCCGATGCCTCCCTGGCGCTCGCCAGGGATCCCTTGGCGCTCACGGTGGTTTCCAAGACGTCCCAGGCAAGCCACCAAGGCCGCCAAGATGGAACAGGATACCCACAGGATGGCCCAAGGCGGCCCCAAGATAGCCCAAGACAGGTTCAAGACGGCTCCAGAGGCCCCCTATGCGGCCCGAGAGGAATACCAGAAGGATCAGATCAAATTAAAGCCATTGATTTGCATGAGTGCTTGAATGATCGTCGCGTGGTCGACCCGCGATGGCCCAAGAGGAAGAGGCCTCCAACATGGCCCCAAGACAGCCCAAGAGGCCCCCAAGAGGGCCCTAAGACGGCCCAAGGCGCTGTCAAGATGGGCCAAGCAAGAGACCTCCAAGACGGCCCGAACAAACAGCCCAAGCAGGCCCCAAGTCCGAAGGCGCCAGCATCCCCAGAAGCGCCCCAAGGCGGCCCAACGAGCCCCCAAGAGGCCCCCAAGAGGCCCCTGAGAGGCCTCCAAGAGTCTCCTGAGAGGCCCCCAAGATGCTCCGAGAGGAGATGAGGGAAAAAGAGGAAGAAGAGGAGGAGGAGGAAGAACACCAGGTGAGGAACCCCGACAAGGGGAGCAGAGGGGCGCGTCACATGTTAAGGCTCCCCCGAGCGTGGGGACACGAGGTGTCACCCTCGCACAGTTGCTACTCAGATTGCTGGGCTGACACGGTGGCCGGGTTCGCCGCAAACAGCTAGGAAACCAAAGACAAGTGCCTTCGTATTCTGGCGCGCGGTGCCTCTGACGGGAAGAACTGCTGTCACTGATGCACCCTGTGCTTCTAGACGTGTAGCTGCCGTCTCTGCTTAGTTTGGTGGTCCCACCTCAGAACTGTCGTTTGGCAGGTGTCTGGCGAAACCGTGTACATTCGAAACTCCGTCGTCGCCACAGCAATCCAGAGTTACTCAAGGCTCTTACTAAAACGTCACGCGGGTTCGAACAAATCGAAAAATCCTAAGATGTGTGAAAGTTGGGTCAGGGACACAACTCTGACAAAATATTAGCGCCTGAGACGAAGCTGTAAACCTCCCCGCGAGTTTGTCTGCTGAGCCCTGAGGAAGTTGAAACACAACAAACCGAAATATGTGAGCAACACAACGGCTGCTCGCTTGTGCTCGTTTGCACAAGCACGACCGTCCAGGGCCACTGGTGCCAGGCTTCTTTCCCGTTTGCAACGAGGACCCCATCTCCCATACCTAATGGCGCAACACAGCCTCTCGCACTCTTACTCTCAGGGGAACTCGGTAGACGTAACGAGCCGTCTGCGGGACGAACTCCTTAGCACGTGAGGTCATACGACACCCTGGAGAGTTTCCGATTCAAGGAAGCGGCGTTTCCCTTCAGTCGGGGTAATTCGCGCCTGGAGTCTATGACATGAGAGGTGGTGGAAGGGAGGCGCTGAGGAAACCCATCAGCCCCCTGGGCGTAAATGGTCTAACGAGTTCTCTTGATCCTCTTCCACTACCTCCCCATCCCACTTCGGGGAGGGGTTTACCCCTCTCCCCACAACCTTTTCCAAGGGCCTGGACGGGAAGGGGGCAGAGGTGACAGAGGTCCCGTTTCGTCCGAGACGGCTCCCGATGTTCCAAACTGGCTTCCAAAATGGCTTCAGCTCGCCGAAGGTGGTTCAACGTAGCTTCCGACATACTTCCAAAGGGCCCCAAGATACCCACAAGATGGCTCCGAGTGCTCTCGGAGCCACCCAAGGATCCCCCCAAGAGTCCAAGATCCTTTTGGAAACTTTCGGGACATCCGTGAAGTTTGCCATCTCGCATTGTTGCGCCCGATTGGCATCTGAGAACTCAAGATGGCGCCAAGATGGCCCAGTAGAGCCCTAAGAGGGGCCCAAGAGGCCCCTCAGATGGCTCCAAGAGCGCCCGAGAGCGCCACAAGAACGCACCAAGGGGGCCCCAAGAGGCGGTTCTGAGGGCTCTTGAGGAGAGGCTAGATAAAGGAGCGCCCCCCTTGGCCTCCAAGATGGCTCCCAGAGGCCATCCAGGGCTCACAAAAAGCCCTCAAAAGGAGTCCGACAGGGCCCCCAGATCCCCCAAACGAGTCCCACGTGGCCCCCAGAGGGCCCCAAGAGGACCCCAAGAGGGCCTCAAGAAGAACAGCTCGCATCGGCAGCATTTCTGAATGAGCTGGTGAAGATGACCGAAGCGTGAAGAATTACAGAACCACCACCATCTCAACCTGCCCAGTAGACAGTGGACTCGGGATGATGACGACGGCACTCTCTGTGTCGATCTGCCGAGGCTAAATCGACGCTGATCAACGGTAAATCGACTCCAATCGACGCTGGCCGACGCTAAAACGGCACTATCTCATCGACTCCCAGACGCGACTCGACGCTGATCGATGCCAAAGACGGAATTAAGAAAGTCAATGTCCCACGATTTGGGGAAACCACAAAGGACCGATACCGCTCCCCCCGGGCCTCTCTCGGGGTGCGTTCTGACCAGGATTTCGAGGCGCATCCAGCGGTGGCGACGAGGGCCGCCCATGAGGCCCAAAAAAGGAAAGCGCCCGAAAGGTAGCGGTATGGGTGCCTTCCCCGTTCCCGTTCCTGCTCCCGCTCCCGCTCCCGTTCCCGCTCCCGCCCCCGCTCCCGATCCTCCTCCTCCTCCTCCTCCTCCTCCTCCTCCTCCTCCACCACCTCCTCCTCATCATCATCAGCATCATCAGCATCATCATCATCATCATCATCATCATCATCATCATCATCATCATCATCATCATCATCATCATCATCATCATCAGCATCAGCATCAGCATCATCATCATCATCATCATCATCATCATCATCATCATCATCATCATCATCATCATCATACTCATCATCAGCATCATCAGCATCATCAGCAGCATCATCAGCAGCATCAGCATCAGCATCAGCATCAGCATCATCATCTCATCAGCAGCAGCATCAGCATCAGCATCAGCATCATCATCATCATCATCATCATCATCATCATCATCATCATCATGATCATCATCATCATCATCATCCTCCTCCTCCTCCTCCTCCTCCTCCTCCTGCTCCTCATCCTCCTCCTCTCCCTCCCCCTCCCCCTCCTCCTCCTCCTCCTCCTCCTCCTCGTCCTCCTCCTCCACCTCCTCCTCCTCGTCCTCCTCCTCTTCCTCCTCGCTGTCCTATCCCTACTCCTCCTCCTCCTCGTGCTAATAATCATCATCATCATCATCATCATCATCATCATCATCATCATCATCATCATCATCATCATCATCATCATCATCATCATCATCATCATCATCATCATCATCATCCTCATCCTGTTTTCTGCCCTCGTCGTCTTTCTGCTCCTCCTCCTCCCCCCTCCTCCTCCTCCTCCTCCTCCTCCTCCTCCTCCTCCTCCTCCTCCTCCTCCTCCTCCTCTTCCTTCTCCTCCTCCTCCTCCTGCTCCACGGGTTAACACGTCTCCTAATAGGGCGCCAGTGAAAGGCACTTCTGAGACCGCGGCGTTGCAACTGAGACCTCGAAGAGTGCGAGCGAGAAAGCGTCGTGCGGCGGCCCTGTTGGCGAAGCCGAACGGACTCGAGGAATCGGCATCGTCCGTCTCCAAAGTCCATTTCCCTGGGCCCCTTTTCGGAACCACACGAATTTTTCAGGATCTGGAACGAAGGAACAGGCTCCTGTCGGCGACTCCGGAGGGTGTGGTTTGCACAGGGTGTGGCTTGCAACCGTCACCCTGGGGGGCACCCTGGGGTCGGGCGAGGACCCCGACGGAGTTCTCCGCCGCGCCCCGAGGAGGCCCGACGAGGACACTGTCGTGCTCCCCGGGCCCCAACGGTGCCGATCACAAACCACACTCTATACCCGTCGGTCGGAAGAAGTGGGTAGAAACATAAAGTAGGAAGGCGTTGTAAGCAGATTGGGCTTCCGCCCGAACCCCTGAAGAGGAGGGAAGAAGGAAAACCACTCGACTGGTTCAGGCCCTCCCAGACAACAACAAAACACAGCAAAAGCATGTCGGTTCTTGAAATAAGAAAACGCTTGAAGCAGATCGGGATCTGGGAATCCCGAAACACCACCTTTCAACCACCAGCGTCTAACCCTAACCTTCTGTATGACGAGCGAACATCACACACCCGTGCCCATGGGAGAGGGTCGGAGGGAGGAGGACTGACTATGGGTATGGGTGCTGGTTGTCAGAACCTAGAGGGGGAGGCTCCCGTGCGAACGGGGACCCCCATCCGACAACACGCACCCGTAGCCCGCTGTCCCCCCTATGGGCCATCGCTCGGACGTCCATTCCCTGTGCTTCTTTCGACTTCGTGCGTGGTTGTTTTCGCCAAATGATCAAGGATGCTCCTCGATGGTCCTCGCCGAAAGAAAAATGCACACGTCCGAGCGATGCCAAGGGCATGGGTGCGCTGGCGGACGCCCACGACGGCGCCGGGGCCGGCGGCAGAGCGCGCCCCGCCCTGGACTGCCGCGTCGCGCGGGCACGTCCTCCCTGGGCCTTCTATGACGGGCAGCATTGGATGCCAGTCGCACCCACTCACATAATGCGCGATGACGATTAAAAAAGAATGGGAGAGAACGATTAAAAAGTAGTGTTCTGCGATTTCTGCAATTTTCTGACTGGAGGAGAACGATTGAAAAATAGTGTTCCAGCCCGCGGCCGGTTTTTTCTAATCGTCATCCCGGGCGCCGCCGCGTGAACACGACCCCCGGTCATTTATGAATCGTCATCCTCCATTACATGGGCAATACATCAACCATAGATGGGCCATTCAGCCACTCAGTGCCCATTGAAGAGGCCTCACTGCGGGGACCTTCTTTCCCCCTCCGAGCCCCCTTATAATGTCCCCACTTATTGGGGGAAACCAAAAAGGTGCCGATACCGCTACTCCCCGGACCTCTCCCAGGGTGCGTTCTGACCAGGATTTCGAGGCGAATCCAGCGGTGGCGCCCAGGGCCGCCCAGGAGGCCGAAAAAGATGGGAAAACGAGGGAAGGGTAGAGGTAATTATAGGTGCGTTTTCCTCCTCTGACCTGTGGGCATGGGTGTGCGTCGTGCGCTCGTCACTGCAGTCGCCGATCTTACAGCGCACGGGGGACCCCCGTCGCGCCCGCTGCGCCACAGGAGTCTGGAGTCCCGAAACGGTGCGGTGACAGGCCGTGCGGTGGCCTCGGAACCCCACGAGACCTCACCGCACGGTCCGTCACCGCACGGTCTTGGGATCCTGGAGGCCCCTGTCGCCCGAGGCATCCTCGGAGAACGACCCGAGTCCCAAAACCGTGCGGTGACCCCGAATCCCCACCGACTCACCGCACGGTGCCTTGTCACCGCACCGTTTGGGGGCCCCCGGAGGAGGCTGCCCTCGTGGCGGGCGCCGGGCCTGCCGGTCACGGGGTCCCGCGCCTCGAAGACGAGGACGAGGGAGGGCCCCCAGTCGCCGCAGCCTGCGCGGGCAGAGCGGGAGAGCACGGGCGAGAGCGACGGCAGCGGCTCGGCGTCGGGAGGGCCCCGGGCATACCACAGGGCGAGGAGGCCTCGACGCCCCGCGCCGCGAAGGCGAGGGCGAGAGGAGGCCCTTTGGCCCCGCAGCCCCCTCGAGCATCGCGGGCGAGCACGGGCGAGAGCGCCGGCAGCGGCTCGGCGGCGGGAGGCCGCCGGGCAGCGGCTCGGCGTCGGGAGGGCCCCGGGCATGCCCTCGACCTCCATCCGCCGAGCCCTCCGCGCAGACGGCGGCCGCCGCGGCGCGCTCCCGCAGCGGCCGCCGAGAGACCGCCGCCGCGGGCCCCGACGGCGGCCGCCTCGCTGCGGCCGCGCCGGCGGCGGCCGCCGCGAGGCGGCGGCCGTCCGGAGGGTGCGGAAGGTGGAGGTCGAGGGACCGTCGCCCGGTCTTCGGGTCCCGGGAGCCTGACGGGCCGACCTGCCTCGAAGAGTGGCGAGGACAGATTGGGCCTGGGGCTCTCGTCGCCGCGCCCCCTCGGAGCTGAACGCGGCGGGCGGCCTGTCCAGAGGCTGCTTCGTGGGAGCTGCGCCCGTGACGGTGGCCGCCCGCGCCGACCGCGTGCAGCTGGGGACCAGGCGCTCATCAACAGGGCCCGCTTGCGCTGGGACGTGCGTGCTCGGGCTGCGCGTGCGGATGACGTTCTCGGCCCGTCCCGGCCAGTGGCCCGCGGAGGCTGCCCGCCCCCGACCGGCGCTGTGTTTTCTTCGCGTCGTCGGGTCCCAGAGTTGGAGGAGCGGCACGGGCGTACGGAAGGTGTAGGTCGAGGGTGGGGCGACAAAGTCTCTACATCTCCACTGCTCCCTGGCCAAGCACTCAGACTCCATCTTTCTGCATCATGTCTAGAGCTGGATGATCGGCCCGTGTGGGCCCCAAGGAACCCTCATCCTCCTCATCCTGCTTCTCCTCCTACTCCTCCTCTTCTTCATATTATTATTATTCCTCGTCATCCTCCTCGTCCTCCTCATCCTCCTTATCCTCCTCATTATCATCATCCTCATCATCATCATCATCATCATCATCATCATCATCATCATCATCATCTTCATCATCATCATCATCATCAACATCATCATCATCATCATCATCATCATCATCATCATCATCGTCATCATCATCATCATCATCATCATCATCATCATCATCATCATCAGCATCATCATCATCGTCATCATCGTCATCGTCATCCTCAGCCTCATCCTCATCCTCGTCCTCGTCCTCATCCTCATCCTCATCCTCATCCTCCCCGCGAGGGGGCCCACGAGCGGCGAGCGTGGCCACGTCGGCGCCCTCGTGGTCTGGACCCTGGGCCGCGGTCCCGCGGATACGCGGTCGCACGAATGTGGGCGGCCACATGTGAACCCTGCCCACACACACACACACACACACACACACACACACACACCCTTAGAAATCGAGGGGGGTGGGGGGGCAGGATTCACATGTGGCCACCAAAGGTATGTCCCGCGCGTGGCATCCGCGAACAAAACGCCCCATATCCGCGGGGTCGCGGCGGACTCGGCCCACGAGGTCACGGAGACCGACATCTTCGTTCGCCCACTGTCTGAGATGGGTGTTTTCTCAAGCGCTGGGCCTGGTTCAGGTGGAACCGTCGCCCCTGCCGGGCTTATAATCTGATCCAAAAGGCTGCGGAGAAAAGAGGGTGCAAGCTACTCCCTGCCTGCTGCTACTCTCCCTCGGCACTGTACTCAAGTCGGCCTGAGAGAACTGCGTGTTTTCGAAGCCGGATCCGGCTTTAAAAACTGGCGCCCAAGTCACTGCTGGACTGCACCACCCACCCTATGCCAGCCAGACGCGTAGAACTTTCTGAACAGACGAGGGACCAGCCAGGCCTGAGCTGGACCGAGTCGCGACGTCGGGTCGGGTCGGGAACGGATTGGATCGCCAACGAGTCGCCCCGAATCGGGCAGAGGTCGAGGTGCCACACACGGCTGCGGCCGGCCCAGGCCGAGGCGGGCGAGTCGAGCCGAGCGGAGGCGGATCGGAACCGCGGCCCCGGTGGGCGAATCGAACCGCATCGGATCGAATCGTAGGCGACCCTGAGGGACCGGCGGGTCCACGAGTCACCGATTCGGGCGGTCATGTTGCACCCCCTCCCGACGAGGCTGTGTTTTGTCTGGGGGAGGAGGGAACGGGCACCTGCAAATGACATGACCGTGGCGGCGGGGGAAACGCAGAACCACGGACCCCTGGCCTGACAAACCGCCCTGACGAAATGGTAGGGAGCCGTTCAGCAGGCGCTGCGTGCCGAAGGCCTGCCCACATGGACACGTGGCAACACAAGCGAACCAACGCTCACACGAAACCACATTCGGAATGCGGCGAAGCTGGGCCGAAAACCCATCAAGGGCAAGCGCAGGCTTGGGTAGACAGGACGGGATGGCAAACGTGAAAAAAGAAGATGGAAAACAAGTAGAAGGGGAGAGCAGATCAGGAGGGCGAGACCAGTGCTACTGGGAGAAGCGAAAGCTGGACCAAACGTACATCCCAATCTGCATACTGCGACCCGAGAAATGGTGAAACGGTGCGCCATCGCGACAATCCGAACAAGTAAGATTACCCTGGCTTCCAGAAGGCAACAGAAGGCAGCAATGGCACGAGAAGGCCTCGAACACCATGTGAACAATCATCTTCTTCCTCTACAGCCGACAATGAAGAGCGTCCCCGCAACGACGGGCTTCCGACGTGTTCTCCAGGGTCCTTGGCGACGAATGCCACACAAGAGTTGCGAATGACATCCACCGCCTCTGGCAAAACAAAGTGCTGCGGCGATTGGAGCCGAAAGAAGAACATCACACCCACACATCCTCAGATCGGTCGAATACGCCGACCTGTCAAATTGAAAACAACAGATCGACGACAAGTGAGATGTTGTGATAAGATGCGATGCGGGCGCACACAGCGGCCAGATGTGAACGCCAACACGCGAAAGGAGCCGAGAACCCTCAGAACCCTGAGCATCCACATCACAGTGGAAGCGGACAAAGAGGAGCTTGCAACTGAAGTGAATCGTTGGCCGAGAAAGCTTCGGAACGAGGAGGAGGAGGAGGAGGAGGAGGAGGAGGAGGAGGAGGAGGAGGAGGAGGAGGAGGAGGAGGAGGAGGAGGAGGAGGAGGAGGAGGAGGAGGAGGGGGGGGGAGGAGGAGGACGGGGCCTGATCTTGACCCCTCAGGGAGGCACAGCGGAAAAACGGGTTGGAACTCCACGCCTGCGCTGGAATCGGCGGCGAGCCCCCGGGGGCAAAAGTGAGAAGGGCAGGGCCTTCCCAGAAGGCTTCGGTCGGGCATGTCCCCCTCCAGGGGGATGCTGGACGAAACATAAGAAATACCTCAAAAATACTCCAAAACAGTCAAAAAGTGCACCAAAAATCGTCACCTGAGTATTTTTGACCAGCTATTTTGGAATATTCTTCCTGTAGAGGGACAGGCCCGACTTAACCCGAGCCTCCTGAGAGGTCTTCTGAGCCTTCCCCGAAGACACAGAAAACCTCTTGGCAGGGCAGAGGGCTTCTGAGAAGACGCACCGCCTTCTGAGAAGACCTGCCCCTTCTCCCTTCCTCCCTTCGCTCGCCACCGATTGAATCTCAATGGTCTCCTGGCTCCTCCCCTCAACGACACACAGAAGCAGTGCTCCAGGGCAGCACGTGGGGACAGAGGCGTCCCTGGCCGGGAGCCGCGCGCAAAAGCCGGCGTGGAACAGCGGGCAGCGCATGGACCCTGGGCGCCCCTGGGGGGTCCACGGGGCCCATGGTGGCCTGGCAAAGACCGGCGGCGAGCCCCGGAGGAGAGGAAGGCTTTTCGAGATTCAAGGCTCTCGGGCGTCGTCGTCGGTTCTCGGCGGCTTTCCAGCCTCGAGGTGCGTTCCAGCGGCTGCGCCTCGCCGAAGGCGTTCAGGGGGTGCCCGGGTCGTCCCGAGCAGCCAAAGGGAACCGAGTTATGACCCCAAAACTACTGGGCGTCCGAGAGGGGGCGGGCCTTCCCAGAAGGCTCGGAAGTCCCCCGGCCATCTGAGAAGTTTTCCGAGCCTTCCCCCAAGACAAAAAGAGGACTTCAAAGAAGGCGCGAGGGCCTCTAAGAAGCCCCACCGCCTTCTGAGAGAGCCTTCTCCTTCCCACTTCCCCCTCTCGCTCGCCGCCGAGCTAGGGGGGTCCTGACATAAGTTGTTGCTCGTCTTCGCACCATGTTGCGGTCAACTTGAATCACACTGGGGACATCGTTAGGCCAACTAGCGCCGTGCTTATACCATCTTCGGTCAAGCGGGGAAAACTTGGAGCGATCTTGGGACCATGTGTAAAGGAAAGAGAAGCATGCACATGCACCGATTCTGGCCAGGCCCATCCTGAGCCCAGGATCGGTGCATACGCCCTCCTGCCTTGGCCAGGAAAGCTCATGCACTGATCCTGGGCCAAGGATAGGCCTGGCCAAGATCGGTGCATGTGCATACTTCTCTTTGCCCGAATGTGGGACCCCCGACGCGCTCCCCCATTACGGGGAGGCGCTGACTTGGGCCCAGCTGACCCCGACAGATATGAAATGATGATGATTTCACCACGGTGCGCTCGCAGCGCAGTCAAAATCAGTGCAGGAAGTAAACGGCATTAGAATTCCTATAGCACTGCCTACTTGTAAGATCAAGTGCCGATGTACAGAGACCTGAGCGTCTGGGAATTCACTTCCGGAGAAACCCAGCGATCTGCATCAAAGGGTCACTGACGTCCTGAGAAGACAAAGCAGACGCGAAGCGAAACGTCAGACGAGTGGAGTGAACAGACTGAGTGCAGCCAAGCTTGCGACTGCAGAAACGCTGTACATCACTGCTGCTTGATCTCTACGGTATTCATACAATCCAGTGTACATGATGAAGGTTGATGGAATTGGTGTCAGCATGCATAGTGTTAGGGCGCCTCGAACAGGAGGGCTTAAGCCCCATGGCAATAGCCGCACGATGCCTACACCTGCTGCGTTACACAACCAGCGACATAAGAGAACACGAACTACAACACCATATGAAGAAAATCCTAGGTCAAACTGAAGTTCAGCCCCAACAATTGCGTAAATCAGAGGCCCGAACATAGCTCCTAGCATCTGCAAGCTTTTGCCTGGTATGGCATAATATGGTGCCCCTATCAGATTGAGAATCAAACCAGCTGTTGTTGCCCAAAGAAGAACATTCCGGGTCAAAAGGGCAACTACTCGAGGCCCTCTGGAAACGTCCTGCTGCTGGGCTGGTGGTGGCCCATTGGAAAGTGGCATAGATTGCGCAACACGATCAGATGGAGAGGAACCAGGTGATTGCTGTGCGTTCATGGAAACACCGAGCTGTGTACATGGAGGGGCCCCAGGCTCGTTGTCCAAAGTCCCTATGTCCGAAAACTCGCACGCCTTGTCATCCATCTTTTTTCTGGACGGTGCATACACTCTTCCAACTACAGCATAATAGATATTCGCAGTCCAAATATTACCTCCGAGCTCAAGCATCACAGCTGCAGTAATGGTGTCTGCACCCAAGCGATCGGACCCCAAAAGTGCAGGGTAGACAAAAGGAATCGCATTGCTACAGAGTGCCATCGCATAGAAGCCTTGGTTAACAGGCAGGGCCATATATGCAAAACCCATTGCCACCCCCACAATGCAGAGTGTTGAAACTAAGCCGACCATCAAGACGATAGCAAACTCAAGAGTTATGTCTGCTTTCCAAAGCAAGCTTAAAATCAGCGCTGGTAGAGCAAAATTGAAAGTTGCAAACCTCAATCCAGGCACATGCTCGTCCTTCAGTAGGCCCGAGCGGCGGAATAAAAAACTCAAAACGATGATCGTCAGACTACTGATGAAATCTAAATGAGCCAACAAATCGCCTGGGACAGAACCTTCGAATTCATTGTCGCCGCTGGATGCTGCCATCGATGCGGCCCTATCTCCTACCTTCAAAGCAACTCTGACTTCAAACGGCTTCACCAAAACCACTTGAGCCGAACTGGTACGGACGCCAAGCTCGAAAGGCACGGCGATACCAGAAACAAACAACAATAATAATAATAATAATAATGATGATGATGATGATGATGATGATGGTGGTGGTGATGATCATCATCATCATCATCACCACCACCACCACCACCACCACCATCATCATCATCATCATCATCATCATGGTCGTCGTCATCATCATCAGCATCAGCATCAGCAGCATCATCATCATCATCGTCACCATCATCATCATCATCGTCATCATCATCATCATCATCATCATCATCATCATCATCATCACCATCGTCATCGTCATCGTCATCGTCATCGTCGTCATCGATCGTGGTGGCGCCTCGTACTTTTTAAAACATTTACTGCAATGGTGGGCGAGTGCTCAAATGTGTCTGTCCACGTGTACATGCTTCCGCATAGGTGTGCCGCGTGAGCTCACGTGAGGCTCCGTTGGATAGGCTGTTGGCGTGCTTCACTCGATGTCCACCTACACCTGCACCAATTACTTGGTATGTATTGATAGATTGTTGTCATGGCAGGGCGGGCGGAGCCCAACAGGCGGGTCGGGAGGGGCATTCAAGTGGGCAAGCGGCCTCCCAAACAGCCGACTGGGCGAACCCTAACCAGCGCGTCCGGCAAGCAAACCCTGACGGGCGGGTTGGGTGGGCGTGTCGGGCAAACGGGGCATTGAAGCGACTTTAGAAAACTGCGAAGACTCTCGGGGGAGAGAACGTTCCTGAGTGAAGAACGAGAAAATGTCGTTCAAGACGGCGATTCTGGACGTCGAAAGCGCAGCAGTTCAGAAAATTGCAAGGAAGCCATGGCGCCGGAGCGATCCCTGAGTAGATCGTGAGGAAATCTCGGGCGGAAACTGTTGTGTAGTTGGGGGGGCAAAGGCACAGCTTGCGCAAAGGATTCTTTTGGAAAGAAAACAAACAGCGCACCAGGGGGGGCATTTCTAATGAAAAATGGAAACTGCTAGGGGACCGGTAAAAATTATCTCGTATGCATGAAAATTCTACACATGCTAAAGAGAACTTACGCATTCAACGAGCAACCGTAGACCCCATCTCATGGGTAAACCGTTTCATGCATCGGGGCGACGAAACTTTCTCAAACGGAGATCCCGCCCAACACGCTCGAGCCAGTAATTACCTATCCCGAAACACCTCACCAATTTCAGATCGCACGACGCATCAACGAAATCAGTACAGACTTGGGTACCACCCCCAAAAAAAACACAATTAACTGAACTCGCGGGATTCGATGCGAAATTTAAGGAAGAATCGCATGGGGAAATGCGAAACAAACTCACCGTGCAAGAAGAGAGCACCAGGATGAGAAGTGGGTGATGCGAAGATATTTGAAAACATCCGTGGCGATTTTGAGGGTTTGCACGCGTTCGCCCTAGAGTAACCACCCACCCGCTACGCCATGTAGAACAGGCACGGACTACGGCCCAATTTAATTCCCTTTTCTTCGCGGCGACGTCACGCGGCAGCTGGAGGACAAGTCACCATAGAGTAACGCGGGTTCCTCGGGCCGTCTCGGCGCGCTGTTGGTTTGGAGCGTCTTGGTCACGGATAGAGCAGATCGAAATGACATGTTGCTATCGCAAAGGGGTTGGTAACGGAAGCGAAGGCGCTCCTTCTGCGCGACCAATAGGAAAACATCAACAAGGCCCGCTAGTTGTGCAAGGGCGTTAAAAACGAGTGGACCTTC